CAGATTTTATATCTGAAAGAAGGGTATAATTCGGATTTAAAAAGTTACTAATTATGAGATTCTTTAAAACCAGGAAATGCCCGTTCATGAAACATCGTTTCTCTGAGTTTAACAATGGTGCTTATAAAGTTTACAATATGACTCAAATCCGCTGCCAGATTCTATGAACTCCATACAGTCTCCTCTTAATTCCGTATAGAAATGCATGGTTTTCCGTACTAGGAATATACACAGCCTAGAGTTTGGAAACTCTGAATGCAAGCGTAACGCCGGGTTAGGTTTAAAAATTCTTCGGGAGTTGGGAAAGTTTTTTAAAACCTAATTTTACCCTTCCTTCAAGTATAAAATTTGAAGATGTAATTTTCCGCCAAATGAGTAAAATATTGAATATTTTTATGCGTGTTTTGTGTGAAATATATTTAAATATATGAGGGCGTCGAAAATCAAGGAGAAAAATTCATGTTACTTAAGTAGCCATTTTTTACAGCGCGGAGTTTTCGTATGCGTCCGGAAAGAAGTTCTTCCGAAAGCCGGCGTCTCGGTGTAACTGAATTATTACAGAATTATGCTGCGGCCGGACAGAAGCTTATTCAAGAAGCGGGCATCTCGATATTGCTGAAGTGTCTTGGGAATCTGCTGCACGATCATTCATAGTACAACCCCACTTAAGTTATCTCTTCGATTCAAAAGTGCGCTTTAGAATTTCGGTAGTATGATCAATTTCTAGATTAGGACGACTTAGACATAAAATGCACCAGAGTCGAGGTAGGCAACGATTAGGAGGAGGATTAATGACTTAGTGACTTAACTCGGGAAGTGGTGTAACCGAAAGTACCTATGTAAGATATGTGTACCGCATTCAAATCCCCAAGGGGCTACAAACTGCTAGATTTTAAAACTCGGGGACTCGCATAAAATTGTGGAGAACAAAAATAATTTAAATGAAAACCACCGATGTGGTAACTTTTTCGGCGAGGTTTGGTTCTGCAGCCTCACTTGATTGATACCATATGGTTAGCTTACTAAAACAATATTCGTTATTATACCGAATTTAACCACTCGTTGGATTAGGAAGGGAAAGAGATCGCAAGCAGAACTGTAAGCACGCTCAGGGAAGCGCGTAAAGGTGGCGTATACACGTTATCCCTGCGGCACAGTCACTAGCTGAATTAGAAGGATAAGAAGGGTGAACTCACAACTGGAAGACCGCGTGGTACTTCGCAGTGCGTGGCCATTGTAGTGGAACCGACGAAGTTTTAGTCCGTCCGAATTATGCCATCAGCGAGCCTACTTTGCCACTCGCTGGATTATTTTAATAAAGAAGGATCAAGCCAGGCCCGAAGCCCGCGCAGGGAAGCGCGTATGAACTGATGCCTTAAGTAACCGAGGCTGGCGTACAAGCACTTCTCTCACCCCCTCCCCCCCCCAATGGCACAGTCACTCGCTGGATTAAAATGGTAAGGAAGGTGCAAATACGTGGTATTTTTAAAGTCAGCGTACTCGCATCTAGCAAGATCGTTTTAGGAAGCTAACCATATGGTATCAATCAAGTGGGACTGCAGAATCAAACCTCGCCATTTTTCGAAGACTTTTGCATGACAGCGATCAAGCCGGTCACAGCAACCTTGTTGCT